AATAAGAGCGCCGGATTTGATTTTCACGAAAAACATAATTTCTTTTCGAATTAAGCGAGTATCTTTATTTCAACATGAAGAGGAATAGTTGCGATTAAACACGAAATAGGACACCCGGTAAATTGTCACCACGAAACTTCTGGCACAGGGTCAGTCTTTGCTTGAAATTCAGGATAACGTTTTCGTACAACTGTGGCTCTATTTCGTCGATAACCCGCCTTATCTCTTCTTGTGACTTGTTCGCATACATCTTTTCCTTCACATAGCCTCAGAGGAAGAAGTTCATTGGCGTTAGATCGCACGATCTTGGTGGCCAATTTTGATCGCCGAACCGAGAGATGACACGGTCTGGAAACTTGCTCCGCAGTAACACCATCGTTTCGCGTGCTGTGTGGCAGGTCGCACCGTCTTGTTGGAAGAACTTAGCCTCCACATCAATTCGATCCACAAAAACAGTTACCGCAGTTCCAGCTGCATTTTCGAAGAAATACGGTCCAGTCATTCCGCCACTCCACAATGAGCACCAAACGGTAACTCGCGGCGGATGCATTGGTTGCAGTTCTGCTTATTGGCGTACCCGTTCAGTTGAAAATGTGCCTCATCAGAGAAAATGATTTTCTTCGAGAAATCCGCATCGATTTGGTGGTGCGCCAGCGCAGCGCCCAATCAACGAATTCACGGCGCTGCGCATGGTCCGTTGGCTTGAGTTCTTGCGTCAGTTGAACTTTGTATGGATGCAAGCACAAATCTTTTGTCAAAATTCGTTGTAAAGTGGGTCTGGTAAGGTTCAATTCTTGGCCACGATGCCGAATGGTAGTGCCTGGATTCTCGACCACACTTTCCCGCACTGCGACCATATTTTCGAGGGACCGACCAGGACGACGACGAACAGTGGACATTCAGCAACGTGAATTTTGTCTCAAATTTTGTAATTAAAGTGCCAACTATCGACTCATTAGGCGCATTATTGCGACCGAAAATTGTACGTAATTTGCGAACTGTTCCCGCGTAGTTTTCTCCATTTTTGTAGTGAGTTTTCACAATAATTAAACGTTGCTCGTTTGAATACTGCTCCATGACGTCTAATAGCATGGTCTGGACATAACAGCTGTCATCAAGTAAACACCATACCATTTGTACACAAAAAATGGCGGCAAATTCAAATCCGGCGCTCTTGTTGAGACACCCTATATAAAGTTACGTAGATAAACACTCACAGGACTTGAGCAGTTGATAATTCTCTTCTGACCTAATGAAAACCTTCATACCCGCTTCGGTAGGGCGTATATTGTTGACTGGAGGTATGAAAAAATCCCTTATAAAGCGAGAGGAATTTAGAATTGTTGCAGTCACGTAGTTTCTCGTAATGATGACGTCTACTGACCTCCGAGACCATGCGATCTTTTCTTGGGGTACTTCCTCAATGACAACATCTATTCCGCAGACGATTAATGGCCCGCAGTAAAACAGTTTTCAAGTTATTACTGATCTTGAATAAATTGTACAAAAAGGTTACAATTTCATATGAAGAATTGGTTGGCAAGGGGACGGTTGGAGAAAATATTCTTAAAACATATAGATAATTTAGAAAATCATTTTTTCATCTGCATTTTGATAAAGACCACCATGGAGTCCGAAACATCAGTAAATTCGGCCAGAAAAAGATCGAGTTCTATGCCTTCGTATTTAGGTGAAAATCATTCAAATTAATTTAAGAAAGCAAAAAAACAGTAGTCTTCAAAGTACACCTCTATTATTTTCTGTATGATACAAGTCCTGCCTAAAAAAGGCAATAAATTTGGTTTTGCAAAATACAAAAGCAGCAAATCACATGTCACTGCTTTTTTATTCACAACAATTAAAGACCTAATCTGATTTATTTTAGACCTCAACAACCATTATGATCCGAAATCACATTTCAATGACATTAAAGACGAAATGTCATTTTTTTTAGGCCTTAACAATTATGCATTTTACAGCCTTTTACCTAAGTATGGCAGTATAGATAATCATATTTTATTAAAATTGTTGTATATAAAATAAACAGGAGATATTTGGAATAAAAGAAAATGTTGAAAGTCATACATTACATATTTGTGATGAAGTCAACTAATTCATTTTGAATTGATTGGGCAGGTCCGATTCTGTTTGGACGCTGTGGTCGATGTGGTATATATATTTCTGATCTGATGCAATCCAATCGGTATAATTTTGCCAAACATAATTTTCATTAAAGGGGAATCTGTACGAGTGGCTGTGGTGTTTCCAGAGACGCTTCCCACGGGACTCGGTATTACTGCTGAGAGCACAATTATCGAGCAAACTTGCATGAATCAATTTTGCAAATTGACGAACATTGAAGCTGGTACCAGCTATTTCTTTTCATGTTCTCCTGAATATTGATAATAATAATAATAATAATAATAATAATATAGGCACACATCCCGTGTCAATTGATGACTTTTGAGTTGAACGAATGGACATCAAAGTTAAAAAACACCTATAAATGATACACATAAACACAACCATCATAATTTATTTAAAACGCAGCGCACGAAATGTGAAATAACTCGGGATTGATATGTGCCAAATCGCTATTATGTCATAGAACTTCACACTAAATTTGTTAAATATACATGCTGCGTTGTAACCCGTAAAAACAAAGAAAAAACAGTACATGCAAATTTTATACGTTTCCTGCAACAACGTAGAAATTAGAATAAAGAAGTGCATAGATGTTGTAAAGACTAAAAAGTAAGCTATAACCTAGTATGATATTAGTGAATATATTTTCTTTTAGTGCTGATGGGTCGCTATCTCACCCAACGCGTTATGGCACTATATGCAGTACACATTTGATTAAGTAGACAGAACTTCGTATCGCATTCGTTTGTCTTATGATAAGGGATCTTATCAAGAAGCGTATGCATTCGTCCTAGGATCTTCAACATTTCTAACATGATGCAGTAACACTAATTTATCCCTTGTTGCATAGTTTGAGGTTGGAAGTTTAAACCATGTTTTACCGATTCAAATGCCGTACGTAATATATTCATTTTTTGTTCTAGTTCTATTCAATATAATTAAAAAAAATACCGGCCATAACAAAACTCTTGCAAACATCATTAAGATATGTTTTAGAACCACGATCAACCATCTCAATTGAGCAACTTAACCACAGAACATTACTACAGGCAGTTAAGCAGCTTGATAAACTTTGACGTCGCAGTTTGAACCATGACTCAAGGAAATATATTTAGCTGACACTGACCGTCATGTGGTTTGGTGTGGTTAACATGAGGAAATATGCCTCAAGTTCGCCTTCTTCATATGAGTACATTTTATCTGTTTCTTTGCAGTGAACAAAACGTGGCACCGACACCGTTGAGCGAGATGAAAAAGAAAAAGGAGCGTAGAAAAGAAAAAGATACTTCTGTAGAAACAAGTGACGAAGAAGGTGGCAGCTTACAAGGTAGGAGTTTGTTGTCTTTTATTTGTCTGTCGATGAAATATGGGTATTTTTGGTTAAATACGATTTTATTTAAATAAATTAAAATCACTTCATCACTATGAATGTGATGAAGAATGCATATGATTTATTCTTACTGTAGAATACTTCTCCAAAAACAGTGGATAGGAACTCCATCAGTGAGCTAGTCTAAAATTTATGTTGGCTTCGATTTTTCACCAACTGCATCTTCAAATACAATATTATCCAATATCATGTTGGATTCTTAGTGTTTGAATTAATCACTAAGTGGAATCCCGCTTAATAAATAAATTTAATATAACAAATTCTTTTTGTGCTGAATTTCCCCAAATTATAGATAAAACATCGTTACTTACTTCAAATAGTAATACCAGTTCAGTCATTCGAATATGCATTAGTTAAGTAATGATTGAATAACTGTATCAGAAATTTAATTTTCCAAAATATATATAGCCTATTTTTTCCATGTTATTGCATACAAATGTGCACAAATAGATTCTGATTGATAAATATCGGATAATTATCAATTAAATCAGTAATGTATGTATGAAGGACGTTAATCAAATTGATATATGTTATGCCGGCTGTCCAAACTATGCACCAAAATACACATTGTTCGACAAAAGTCTATTGGTTGCTAGGTTTCGTCTCAACGCATCAAATGCCACATATCCAGAATTCTTTAGGAAATATAACAATTCCTACCAGAATTTTTATATTTTTCCAGTACCATAAGTCCATCAAAGTTCAGATCCCATTATTATCAGATGTCCATACAATTCCATGTTCTTGTGGAAAATTTTTGATAGATCTGAGACAACCAGATAGTCATAAATTAAACTCCATGTTTTTCTGGCCGCAGAATGAAAGTGCTGATGTTGACGTAAAAGATTACAAACGTTTAACTAAATAGTTTTTTTGTTATTGTGGTTTTAAAATTGTGGTTTGTATTTTGGAAAGGTGACTGAAACAGCAGTGGCATGCGATATGTTTTGCTTCTCTCTTCTTTTTTGATACCAGGAGTATACATAGGTTGAGATGCTTACTTTTGCCGGAACGTGTACGTGCTAATGAAATACACATTCGTTGTTGCGAACATTATTATAATTATTTTATTTGTTTATTGGTATTCTACGAGTATACACCATCCGAGATACATGGATGTTTCAATTTTAATTATAAGTTACACATTATATGATGTGAAATTATTTTCAAATTATGGTTTATAGCTTTTTATATAATTAAATTATAAATATACACCCAAAAAAACTAATTATTGCTGCTGTCAGAGGTTCATCAATATTCAAATTAAAAGGTTTTTGCTGCAAAAATGTAATGGGTTTAATTAAAATAGAGCAAAATATTGGTAAACAAGTTATCATGTAAAACAAATAATTGCTATTCATAAACATTTTCTGTACATATATTGGCATGGAATGAATAGGCCCTAATATTTCACTGCTGCTCAGATCGTACGCTTTTAGATAAAAACACACTGTATTATATACTCCATTTATTTTCCTTAGATATTATTGCAATCAATAAAATTTATTTATCGTTGTTAATAGCTTCTACATCTATAGCACTACAACTACTGCTATCAGTATTCTCAGTAGCATTCTGCAAGACCGTTTCGTTATTTTTGTTATCCACATCTTCAGAATGGCACATCTTCCTATGCTTGTGTACAAAATAGTAACTCGGGAATTTGCTGCCGCATATCTTGCACGGATAATACTGAACGTTCATGTCTAACAGCTTCACTTCCCTCTTCAGTTCTGTGGATGATCCTCCAGACTTCGCTTCTAAACTGACGGGATTCAGATGCCTTCGGGCATGTTTCTGATAGCAGTACTGCGATTTGAATGTGTGGTTGCAATATAAGCACGTAAATATCTCGTTATTCTGTTGTAGGTTTTCGTTTTCGTCTCCTAGTTGCTGGTCTCTGATGTTTTCGTTCATCGCTTTGTTCATGGCCACGTTTCTGTTGTTGATGTCGTCCTTTTCGTAAGGCTCTGATATAGGGGGCTGGAGGCCGTAGTTTTTGTTCACTACCCTGTAAGAAATGTTATTGATCATTAGACAAAACCTCCTTATTTGGCGAATATTCTAGAACGACAAAGTAGCGAAAACGCTCACTAAATCTTTCCAGAATGCCAAATGTCCCCTTAACATTATATACTAAGCTGCATTCATGGATTCTTTTACACTTTACAATTATGATATAGGTATAGGAAAAAGTAATTCGAGCCCGATTTACTTGGGCTGCTACTGGGTTCTGCCTCCCAGCAGGTGGGTCAAATGTACATTTTGAACAGCAAGGCAGTGCTAAATAGAAAATAACTATTCTGCTTCAAATGAATTTAAAAATACTGATTTCTGAGAATAAATATTTGTTTTTCAAATTTATAAAGTCCAGTAAAAGTACATCCAATTTAAAGCGATATTATAGCTTATGTCTCTAATTGAGAGAGGGTGAACACATTTATTCCCAAATTTTTCTAAGATATTTTTTTTAATTTGGAATTAGAGATTATATGATAGAATTGTTTGATAAGATTCGACAAAAGTCGACAATATACACAAATATGTTCCTATGTATATTTATTGGGAGTGTTTTTAGGAATACATGCAATGAAATTCATCATAACTGAAACCTATTTCAAATATTCTAAGAAATTACTGACATTCATTAATCTCAAATGCGTTGATTAATAGATGTAGCTCCTAATAATGTCCACGCTAGTGTATGGACTGTGATCGATTATATTTAGAATACTATTAATAGTATGGAAAGATTGACATTTCAATTTTATAACCGGTTATTCATAATGATAACATGAGCAAAATCATTGTTCTGGTATGTTAAATTTTAAATTGGGTTATTGCGATAAACGACCAGTCAACTATGCAGTTTTCCCACTAACTTGAACGTAGTAATATACATAATAGATTAGACAACGCATTCATAAAATTATATCGCATCATAAGAATTATAGATAAATCCTAAAGTGTGTAATATAAGTTTATCTAAGAACTTCTTGCTCACCTGTGGAATTTGACAGGTCCGTCACAACAAGCTATATCGACGATAACTTTTTCGCAAGAAGATGATTCTAAGCGTTTCTTTGTTCTTCGTTCCTGTGGCTTCTTTTCAGATTTCGTTACAGGCTTATCGCTGTTAATGTAATTGACCTTCATTGCCGATTCTGAAGAAGCTTCCTTTTTTTGCTCACTACTTTCTAGAATACAGAATATACCGAGATAAATTACTTTATTCCAATAACCTTTTGTAAAGAAACTATTGGGTTTTATGACAGATCTATGTAAAATTCCTATAAATACTTTATTTGTCTACACATACTGTGTAAGTTCTCCCTATTTTCAGATTAAACAATATAACTTGCGAAATTTCAAGGAAAAAGATATTGGATTATCCCAATTTCTATTGAATGCTGTAGATACTAACCTGCATTATTTCCGACAGTTCTGAAAGGTGTATCCTCTGACTTGTTCAACCTTCCAAAAGCTGGAGGATGGATTTCTTGGGTAATCGGTGGAATCTTTTTACTTGGTATTGGTTTTATCACATTCACCCTGCTTTCTAATGCCACAGCTGCCGCGGCTGCTGTTTGGGAATGGAGCAGGAATGACCTGGAAACAAAAAAAAAATGTATTAGTTGATACAAGGCCAAAAGATCGATCCCGTTCTTTAGTTGTCAAATTAGACCTTAAAACCTCTGCCGCCGTAATAAAACCACATGCATAATAAAATGGTACTATAATTTTGATTGCTTTCGATGGACAACATGCAAAAATATTGACAACAAATACCTATGGAGAAAAATGTAGCAGTATGAATTCATTCAAAAATAAGTTGCATTAAACACCCAGAAAATCTGGATTCAAAAATAGTGACCATTATAAATCAAATGTCTAAACCATTACAAAAAAAATAAGATTTTTTGCGTTCGATTAACTTATACGGCTGGTTTTTTACCTGCATATTTCTAATGCCCTAGGCATATGTAGGATATGCGTGGCTAGAAGAATACTATAGATATTGCTTATGTTGAGGTCAAGGTAGCCTGTGTACATGAAGGTTAGGAGTGATGAGAATTCGTCTACGTTGACATTTGGTACTGAGATTGGCGTTGATGATTCTGAAAGTGAAAATGTAGTCAATTGATGAATCAAAATCAGTCTCCCAACGCAAAGTCGTTTATTTTGTAACAACTATCATATCCTTTTTAACATTAAACACATCATCCACCAGTAACAAAGCCGGTTATGAACTTTTGCATTGAAAATCCTCGCTTTTGTACATTTGACCTCATAGTTTCTTCTATCAATTAATGTGTATGATGTTTATTTTGAGTAATACTTGTTACGGCAAGTATAAGTTTCGTTATCCACCACAACCGGTCATTTCATCAGCTATGGTAGAAGTAGGTATGTATTGAGTGTTGGTATACTCAGTGTTAATTGAAATAAAATTACATGATCAGAATGCTGACCTTAGTAGAAATAATCAGCTGTTCTATGATATGATATGGAAAAGACAAGAGGTTTAATTTTTGTATAATCCTATTCACTTCATAGGATTTGGTATGTTTGTTAGTCTTTTTTGTAAGAATTCATTCTTATCTGAATATCTAATTTTAGGAATGGGAATAAAAATCCCGTGACTTTGACCAGTCGAGAGTATGACCATTTTTAGTTATGGCTATATAATAATGTATAATTAAATACAGCTATATTTTTAATGATGGTTATAAAAAAACAATATAGCTGACGTCACTTTTATTGACGATTACATAGTATGTTGTGTGAATGAGTTGTAAGTATATGAAGTCGGACCTCGGTTGGCCGCGTGGGTCAGAGTGTCGTGCTACTGATCAGCCGGCCGGCCGGGCCGCGAGTTCGAATCTCGCCTTCGCCATGGATGTTGTGTGTTTGTTTTAGGCAGCAGCGGTGACCGCAGTAGTAGACTCTTCGGTCTCCTGATCAGCCGCCGTGCGCTGTGCGGGTTCGAGTCCCGTCCCAGGAGAAATGTTTCTCTTGGCCATGGATGTTGTGATTGTCCGTAGGTGGTAGATGGTCTCTGACTGTCGAACGCGGAGGTACCACCCGGCGGTTCTCGTAGGCGGAGCCAGAATGTGTGCATGTTGCATGCACACGTGTTCCCTCGCCAGAGTCCGTGTGGCGTCCCCCCTTTCCCATGTATCCCCCATAGCCCCACGGTACCCAATGGGTGCTTAGGCCTTAGGCCTTCGTGGTAGTTGGAGTATATATATATATATAAAAAAAAGTCAGTTTATTTATTGAATTTCAGGTTATCAATGGAGTAGGTATATTCCAACATTTTTATTTCAACGGAGTATCGTTATTTTGATTCTAAAAGGTATATGCTAATTATATTTATTTACGAATAAGACATAGCGTAACTTGCTCAAACAGCCCCTCTTTGACTCAAATGTGATATTTCGTGCCAAAGCTGTGACGTAATAAGTTCTAGTGTGACGTAATACGTTTTTCCGCGCCATGTGCTTAAAATATGATTGTATTTATACCATGGAGGTTAAGTTGTCGTCAAGCATCATTCGGAATAAAAATCATATACGCAGTCCTGAAAGTTGGCGCTTTCCTTTTCGTAAACAACTACGTTTGTAATACCAAAACCAATGAACGGTAAAGCAGCAGCGTAAAAAAGAAATTGAAGAGAGGTTTAAGATAATCACGAATTCAGGGGTTATTGCAGGTTTTACGTGTACATAACAGTGCAATATGTAATTCTTCACAAACAAATCTTGGATGAAGCACTTTTCATATAGAAATTTGTTTTTTCAAAACACCATTTTCCTACTTTGACGTCACATCAACACAAAACAAGTGATGCTAGAGGATTAACCACAGGATATCGATTAACGATGACAGGACGGAATCAATGCAAATTTTTACAGTGCTGCATTCTGTTTTTAGTTCATTTGATTTTTAGTATGTTGTTTAAGAAAATACTGTTTAAGTTACTGTTTGTTGTTTTTGATCATTTATTGTTTATGTTATTTCAGAAAATATTTTTTTAGTTTATTTTTGTTAAGTTTACACAATTATATTTTAGTTAATCCATTTGTCGTTTTTTCCCAATTATTTCTACAAGATACTGTTTTAGATTATTTATTTAGTCAGAAAATGGTATTTTGTAAAAACAAATTCCCACATAAAAAGTGCTCCATCCAAGATTTTTTTGTGCAGATTTACATATTACACTGTTGTGTACATGTTGAACTTGTAATAATCCGTAAATACGTGGTTATGTTAAGTGTACCATCACCACATAAGTTTGAAAACTTTTCCTAATTTTGCAACATTAGGGGCTGTCTAGGACTTTACTGCGTCCATCTCGACGGCCTTTGCATGATGTAAACAAACTTATAATCTAGCCAGCTCGGGTCCGAAACTCCCAGAGAAACTACGTGTATACACCCGCGAAGTATCAGTAGAATCTCCCCGTTAACTAACATCATGACATGGTCGCCATTGGCCAGACTTCGGCATTTGTAATAAGTGTACTTTACTTATGTATTTTTTACAATAATGTCTCTTGAATTGAAATCGATAACCTCGCTATTGCTATAGGAATGTGTCAATTTAGGTTGTTTGAAATCTGATTTGCTAACCCACAAACTCATAATCATGAAAACTTCGTACGTATAGAGACCATTGATCTTTATTTCTCTTTACAATCTTCGTATCCCCAAGAACATGACTTACCGTTACTGTGGGTCAATGCAGCCTTGAAATATCCGCTGTGTACCGACAAAACAGCCTTATGAGCTGAGAAATGCGTCATATTAGGTCCAACTTGCAAAGTCACGTCTGGAGCACCGGATACGATCGGTGGTAGCTGAACAGCTGCTGCTGCGGCGGTAGCAGCTGCAGCTACTGCCGCTAGATTGAGCTGTTGAGATGTCGGTAGCGAGGAGGTCAAAGTTGATGGAGCACCTGGTGCAGGTTGTATCGGTGGAAGAGGTGGTGGTGGCTGGAGAGGACTGCTTCCTGGGCCGAACGATAACCATGCGCGGTACAAGGAGTACATCACAGTTGATGGGATATCGGCTGGTGGAATTGATTGATTATTATGTCTTTTTCTTGCTGACAGAGCTCCATGTTTCCTTGGCCAAATGAAACAATATGTAGAAGTTACTCTTTTTCTTTACTGACCTTCCGGCCACCACGGCGGACTTTTTCAAAGTACAAATCATTGTTATTATTAGTATTTTGTTGGACACCGAAAACCAAATATCACCGACGTCGTAATGTGTACGAGATAGAAGCGCGAGAAGCGTGCAGTCCGTGTGTTAGAAAGAGATAGAAGCTCCTCATTGCCTTGCAACCCGAGTACGAGGTCACGGATGCCATCTACGTACTCTTTCTAACATCGTATTGCACGTTTCTCGCACTTCTCTCTTATACACATTACGACGTCAGCCAAATTTGAACGTCACCGTATGCAATTTATTTAGCCAGAAAAACATGGTGTTTAATTATCTTTGGTTAAATGGAACGTAATACGAATGAGACCTGATTCTGCTGGTTAGCTTGTGTAACTAATCAGTTTTTATATAACCAGGAACCAGATGTCTAGAGAAAGTAGAGAAAAACTCCAGCAAACTACGCCATACATTATATCACAAATTAAAGGATAAAAACGGCTGTATGGAAAAACGTAGGAGAGAACATTGGTCAAAAACAAATTTCTCTGTTATTTTTGAAACTGTGCGTTTGAAAAATACTTATACTGTTGGGTAGCTTTATTACAGACCCACTGATACCAAGCCGGTATCGATCAAAAACATTATTGCAAAAAACTGTTAAATATGGATCGTTTTCGAATTGCTCGTGTTTACTTCAGAAACAAAGATATTTTACTGAAACTGTGTAATACTATAGTTCTTGGAGAGCAAAATACGAGGATGCTGTCAAGGTTTGAAAAAAATGCAATTTGGAAACAGATTGCGTTTTGATCATATACCTACAGAATTCACTTAGATCGCTAGTATTTCAAAACTGTTATGATTTAGAAAAAAATCGTGATTGTAACAATGCAATGTAATAAATATTTTGTTTATTATTTTAACGAAATATTATAATGAGATGGATGTTATAAGTGGATCAGAAAAAAATACAGAATCGTCAAGGTGATGGTATAGCACTCGATCTCGGGAATGGTTAGAATTACAATGTTGTATATTAACTTTAAAGATGTCAAAATAGATTGTGAAAAAAAGAGCTGTGCTTAAAAAATCAATCAAAGAACGAAATATTTTAGAATGTTCCAGGAACTATTTTTTCTAATTCTTGCCCTATATTTAGAAAACAACCACAAATTAATGTAATTTGCTTTTGAATCTGTATTTTAAATGCATCATTTATTTAGAAGCACATAACATTCATTTCCAAAGCATTAGAGCCGTTATTCTTCAATGACCTTAGGTATGGCGACATAAAGAACTGCTTAAGCTAGGAAACTCACTTCACTTATTATGCAGATCGTCCAACACTTAAAAACTTTCAGTACTCAACTCTGACATCTGCATTATGTCAACATTAAGTTCCGGTGATTCAAGCTTGCGAAATAAAACTCCACACACTCCAAGTTATTATGAACGTTCTCGATTTAATATTGAGAGTTGAGTTTTTGAATGGTACACCTTATTGAAAAGTATCGGCTTAGCAACACTATTCCATTCTTAAAATTGCCAAAAAGCCTTCACCATATGCGTAATATATCGCACAATAAAAATGATGGTAACCCGCGAAACTTACGGTGTGACAGGTCGCGCGATCACTGACAGACAGATACTTCTTCGAATGAGAGCGGAATGGAGTGGAGAAAACTTTATGAGCGTATAATTGAGAGCGGCAAGCGGCGATTCAAAGTTTCACCCCCTGGCACCATCCCTCCCCCATTTGATATCCGGTTTTCAATTGGCCGACAGCACGCGCCGCGCCAGGATCGCAGTTGGCGTTGGCGTGTGCCTTCGCCGTGCTGCAGATCGTCGATTGTTACGAGGATGCATGGGGTTAAATCGACGGACAATCCAGGAAGGTTAGAATGAGATGGCCCATGAGAAGCAATTTAAGTTGAAGTGCAAACCAAAATGTGGCGTCTCCACTCAGCAGTGAATTCAATGACTTTCTTCAAAGAGGTAGTTGCTACTGTGTAGTTTTCTATTCTTCACCTGAACCATAAAGATTGGTTTGACACTCTGTATGCCTGCATGCAAAGAGACTGTCTTCCGCATAGCTTCTCTATGAGCTTCTATGAAGAATCCGGAGGTGGAAGTTTGCACATGGGGGCGGCATTATTCAGCCGATCGAAAGTTTTTGTAATATCAGTAATTCATACAACGTTATCGTAAGGTAGAAGATTCCTTCTCGATTCCGGAAGTTATGCTACCTGTCGCTAATCAAGCACTTATTTTAGAAGCACGCGTTGGACGCATTTTGCCATAACTTCCTCAGATGCGGATCTGAAATGACGCGTCGGGCCTAGGAACTCAAGAAGGTAAACATGAATTAAATTTTTCAATGGGATGCCTAAGACTGTTACTTTAAACGCATAGCTGAACCCAATGACAGACCAAATTTTCAGAGATTGTATTCACATACTGGCTAAACCGTTGCTCTCAGTATTTAACCTAATTCTTAAATTAGGGACATACCCAGATATCTGGAAGACCATTCATAAGAGTGATGATGTTTCCAACTACCGACAAATAGCAATTCTATGCAACTTCGGTAAGTTGTTTAAGATCATAGTTAATAATACTGTTTACTGTTCGATCAAGGGTGCAATCTCTGTCAATCAGCACGGATTCATGAGCGGCAGATCTACGGTTACCAACTTGACCCTGATTACTCAGTATATCTCCCAAGTATTAGACACTCGGGGGCAAGTTGATGTAATCTATACAGATATTCAGAAGGCATTTGATTAATTTGATCATTATGTACTTCTGGATAAGCTTAGGACCGTAGGTCTATCCGAGGGACTGTTGTCGCTCCTGAGTTCATACTTGATGGACAGAAGGTTCTTTTTTGAATATGGTGGTTATAGGTCGAGTTATTATCAGGCCACATCTGGGGTGCCTCAGGGATCAAATCTAGGCCCTTTATTGTTCCTGATCTTTATTAACGATTTGTCTCTTGAGCTCAAATGTTTGCATCTGTTTTTTGCTGACGACGTTAAGATTTACGCATCGGTCGAGTCAATTGATGATTGTCTCATGCTGCAGGATAATTTAGACTTAATTTCTTCCTGGTGCTCGCGAAACTTTCTCAGTTTAAATGTTTCTAAATGTAAAGTTGTGTCTTATATAAGAAAGACTAATTATTGATTTAATATATGATGATTAAAACGTGAACGGTCAGGTTCTAGACAGATGCTACTCTTTTAAGGACCTTGGAGTAACCTTTGATAGCAGGCTAATGTTTAGCGGAAATATACTTAATATCTCATCGGCTGCCACCAGACTACTTGGCTTTTGTATCAGAAACTGGAAGGGGTTCTCCAATATCAGCACTTTAATATGACTTTGTTCGTTACTTTTGTCAGAAGCAAGCTGGAATATGTAACCCTGATCTGGTCTCCAATATACATAAATTCAGTTTCAATGATTGAAGGCATTCAACGTAAGGCTATTAAGTATTTTTACCCGAAATGTACTGGTTCTTATCAAAAAGAGGTTTTTGTCATGATACCCTTTTGAATTTTTTCGATTTAGATTCACTATCAATTAGACGTAATATGTTTGCCTTATCGTTTTTATATGGCCTTATGCATAATCAAATTGACTGTCCGGATTTACTTGAAAAAATATATTTCCGCATTCCAAGGCTTGAAAGTCGTCAACAATCAGCCTTTTATTGTCAAGCAGGCCTACGAACGTAATGTTGAAATCTCCAATTTATGTAATGTGCAGTCTGATGAACTCTATTTGTGATCTGTGTGATATTTATAATGACACCTGTAAATCAATCATAAATTGCTATAAGTCATCGATTGTTCTCTGAGCTTACTTAGGCCAATTGATGGTAAGTTTAAGTTTTCAATGTGTCTCTTTATTTTCTTTTCGTTAATGTATTTGAGCTTTTCCTGTAATTGGGTTTTACCTGTAGTAAATATGAAATATAAATATAAATAAATATGAAATGATGAAAACGACTGATTTAGCAGCTTTGTCCGAGGTATTTCAAAAATGGTGGATTTTCAAAAAATTTAGGTTACGTTTTTAATTCCCCTCAAGTTTCATAAGGTTTCATAAGATCAATTGTTTAAACATTTCTATAATTTTTTTGCTGAAGGAATAATACCGGATATTATATTTCTCAAAAGAGCCTATATAAATGTTATATGGAATATCTCAGGTATATTTGGCTCTAACTTTCCAAACACATGTGTCGATATAAAAGTTTGAACAATTTAACATATAAAAACAGGTATTTCTATGACCAAACGCAACTAATGCCGTAAGACCTAAATACATTCCTAGTAATGAAGTTGTTCAGTTTAAAATGGAACAGTAATCGCTGTATTTAGGCACTGATTGTTCTGATTAACTCCCTAAAACAATAGTGGGATAAGACAGCCTACCGCATGCACTGAGGGTGCACAGACAATAGCTCCATCCCCAACCGTGCCTGCGAAAAATCCCACAGGAAATTTGTGATAAGCGCTTCGCGGTATACACAGTAGGCAATCATGGAATTCGTGCGGAAAATCTATTTCTCCGCCTATTGTCGTTCGCGATTTAACAAGCTGTCGCTGCGGTTACGCTACACGGTGTTTGAAGTTTGAAGGGGTCTCTAGGGAAGCACTTTAGCGGAGTCTAGAACGTACACCTACTGGGATACTGTGCATGAGTATTTGCCTATCGTTGTTAATAGAAGTATTGGAAATATAATCATCCATATTTGTCTGGCTTAATCAAACCATTTATATGTTTAAGATTCCTCTTTCTTGTACCGCGTTTTGGTCCCAACGCTGGCCTTTTCCAAATACGAGTGACACTTTGCAAAACTGAAAAAAATGAAGCATTTATGATTAATATCTGTAATCATCACTTTAGATATTTTAATGAAATGTACTTATGTATCAAGAGGCATTTTTTAATCTACCACATTGTTTTGAATACTATTTTGACAGATGGATGGTACGTCACTGGTTTCCCTTAGGATGAAAATTATTGTCGAAATTCCCAACTGCAATGTTATTCATGTGATCAATAAAAGTGAACTTGGTATCACACATCTAGGTCTTTATAACTGTTACTCTTTTCTAACCTTACCTGATTAATACTGTCGTCATAAGCATAGCAGCTTTCTTTTATTTCATACAATACGTTACTACTTATATGTTACTACGTTACATTTTGACACATTTAGTGTGAGGAGGTTTTTGGAACACCATGAATTGATAATTTTCAAATTATTTTGAAGAAAATGGCAGTCTTCTTAGGTGCCACACAAATAGTTATTTGCTGGTACAAAGGTTAAATAATACCAAAAGCTATAGCTCTATTAAAATTTTTCCATTCCAGTATGAGCATTCAATCGATTCGATTGACTAATCATAATTCATTCTGCCATAGCATTTTCATTTCCACACAAGAGAAAGCTTTCCTACATATTCTAGAAATTAAAATACAATTCTCCATCTAGTGATAATAATCGAAAATATTACTATTATCATTAATCTACATAAGTAATAGTCCCAAAAGCTCAAATAACCATTACAACTAATAGCTTCTTCTAATGGAGAGTTGTGAAAAATTCATAAGGCTGGTAATGTTATTGGTTTCGATAATATCAATTTCCATATAGGATGCGTTCCCTTGTATGTTTACGTGTATGTGCTGTTTGTCAAGAGAACTAAATGTTTTTCTAATTAGTTAGAATTGCATGTACAAAGATCCACTCCGAACATTCTCAAACGCATCAACATCAGTATTTTGACAAATGAGTAAATAAAAAAATGCACTCTTTAGTTTAAGTTTACCTTTTCGGACAAATAAATTTGTATAGGAAATATCAAGGTATATACTTGTTATTATCTAACGTAAATCAAAAATCAAAGCTTTAGTTCGGTTTAGTTGTCGTTTTCAAAACACAACGTCAAAATATTGAAGTTGAAAATCCATTTGATGTCTTATTGTAAAACATATTCATATATTGGTTTTCGGCAATAAAATCTCGACTGCTAAAAAATCTCCGGTACGTTTGTGAACAACTGCATAAAATGGAATCAATCATCTGTGAGATATGATACCGGTGGTATTGATATAATAATAAAAATCTGCCACCGTACAAATTAATCATTGTTAACGCGTAAATTTCACGCTAATTAAAATTACTGCTACCCGAATATGTGTTTGAACACATACAGGGTAGTTCGTAATAAGTGAATTAAAAAACAAACCTAGATGTGCAAAAAATGTTGCCCGCTAATAATGAAATTTAATTCTCGAAGTCCTTATCTGTTTAATAACGCTCAAGCTATTGTTGTGGTATTGATATGACAATTGGAAATCGAGGGTTTCATTCGTTTTATTCATATAAGGTGTGTGATTACATTCAATTTTTGAACATAGTATGTAGGGAGTTCTAGCTTCAGCGTATAATCTGGCTATTGGGTTTTTAATATATTCAGTTCATAATTCTTTCACTTTAAATAGCGCCCCGTATGCTCTATAATTAGTGTCCCTTCCTGAATAACATCAAACTTCCAAGTTTCGCGTTGATAAATATTTCGTGCATTAAACTTCCGCAACCTATATCTCATCAACTATCTATATTTTACTGAAGTATATTCACCTCTATTTTATTGTTTTCATAAGGTTAATTCAGGTTCGTTTTTGGCGCATTCGTTACGGACCACCCCCTATAGATATCCACATGTGCATATATATGTGTCTGTATCTACATGCATCCATATATCTGT